TGTTCCGGAAAAGGATGATTGTCTTCATTCTCTCCCCTACCTTCTATTGATCATAACATCAATTATCAACTCCCTCAAGTGTAGACACTAGAGAGTGATTAATAAGCAGAGATTGCACAAAGTAATAAGTAGTACTCGTAGCTTATATTCCACATACATTGATACATACATACCTATTACCTGTATCATTATTATCATTAAAACTAGTTAATTAGCATATTATGGGATATACTATACTTCGTATTACTTTTCAGATTTAAAAACAAAACATAATTCGGACTGAAAAATTAATAAAGTTTAACAATTTTGTGCATTACTTCATATATGGGTAAAGGACTTGCTATGCTTTTAGAATCAAGGTGAAACAGGGGATGAGAGATTAGAGTAACAGAAAACTTAAAGTTGTGGACAAAGTGCGTAGATTAGGACCCAAATTTCACTTTTACAAGCAAGTTTTTTGTTCTAAGAAATGAAAAGCGTTCTAGCTTTGACGAAGCTGCCGCCGTAGCTGGACGGATGTTCCGGTGAGATAGAGTTGTGTGAGGCTCCGGCAGACGGTGCAGAGAAGGCACCTAACATGTCGACGGACAAGGAAATTGGCGGAGTGAACCAGCCGGTCGCATTTCCGGCAAAGAAAGGCGTCGTCGGCTTGGCAGTAGAGGGAGGCCGCCGATTCACACAGCTCGCATGAAACACTTCGAACAGTCAAATAAGGCTCTGCAATCCCCCTCTCTTCTCGTGATGATCTCCCCTTGCACATATTCCTGAATACCGAGTATATAATAATAATTGAATTGGGAGGAATGTAAAAAGGAACGAAGGCATTTATTTATACGGATGGAGTTCATCAAATGATGAGGCTCTCTTTGAGCATGCAATACACTTCAAATTATACTTTTCTTCTCACCTACATATATACTCTGTATTTGTTAAGACATGACTCGTTATTAGTTCAAAAATAATCTTTCTATCCAATCTTATATCCACATATATACCCACCTATGTTTGTGAAGGTATTTTTTTGTCTGTGAATCCCGATTCACAGAGAATATTTTGCACAAACAAAATATTGTCTGTGAAACGGGTTCACAGACAAAAAAAACATCCACTAACATGGTGAGTATAAAAGTGGGTACATCAAGCATCGTTGTTATTAGTTAGCATTAGAATATCCAAGTGTTTGACTCACATTGTTAAATGGTTAGGTGTGATTTTGATATTTAATTATCAATTGACCTTCTAGGATTAATCGAGTGTAATTGTGATTTGTTTTGCGTACTTTATTTCAAGTGGTTTCCATAATTTCAATGGAGTCAATGATTCACTATTTTTCCGCGCAAAAAAAAAGACTCGCTATTTTTGGCTTAGATATATGCTGAAATAAAATAAAATGACTCACAAAATTATTTGTGTTTCTTTGTTATTAAGTAACATGCTGTTAATTTTTTCAATGCAATTTTTATCATGGGTTATTGAGAAATGGTCTCACTATACTTTAGTACCCCCTTTGTCCCGGATAGAACTTCACGTTTTTTTGGCACGGTATTTTAGGAGACCAATTAAAATGAGACCAAATCTCATTTATACCCTTTACCCATTACCGGTTCTACTTCCGCTACTAACCCCTACGCCTTTCTCGTTTCACCTTTCTGTGTTGGCCAAGACCTCCGCCATCTTCAACTCCAAGCTTCTCAAAATTTAAAAAAAATAGGCAAGATTTCTTCTTTTAAACCATGACCTCCCCCCATTCCCCAATATGCTGAACCAAGACCTCACCCCATTCTTCTGCTGAACCAAAACCTCCCCCCATTTCGAATCTCTCTCTATAGTGTATATCATCTCCAAGATCTCTTCGTCCCTTGATATTGAAAAAGGAGGGGTTCCCCATGGAAATCGAGATTGATGAGTCAAGAAGAGTATCTCACAACCCTCACAATGGTTGACGCCTTTAATTTGATGGAAAAATTGGATTTAATAATCCCAACTATGCTTGGTCTGCTTTTTATAATCCCTACTGATTGTTATTATCAGGTGGTCCCAACTTTGATGGGCTTTTTCCAGAAATGGTCCGAGTGACTTGTTACTGGTTAGCAAAGTAAAAAAAGACACGCCCAAATTAAGAAACCCTCATCCCAGTCGTAAACACCCAAAACCCTCATTCCAGAAATGTTATCTTCCTTCCCAATTCATCTTTGAATGCTATCTTCCTTCCCTTACTTGGCTATCGTCAACTTTTCCCTACACGATGCCCAACAGTAGAGCAATCCCCCTTAATCGTTCAGCCAACACTGAGTTACACAAGGAAAAGTTCAAGTGCCTCACTTCAAGGGTCCTAGTGCTTGATTTCGACTTTAAAGGTAAAGATTTAAGTTTTTTTTTTTAAAATGTGCTCACATATTGAAGATTAGGGTTAGTTCTTCCTAATTAACTTCATCAACAATCGGGAGTTCCATGCCTGCAAATTCACTTATTGGGATATATCCTTAATTAGATGACTTAGATTTTGGGATATATTCACGTATAATTCAGTTTAATAAACCTTGATCCTTAATTAAACTTCACCCTTAGTTTAATGCATGACTAAGATTTTGCATTATAAAACCGTGAATATATCCCAATGATCTTGGCCCATTCACAATTAGATGTATACAATAACTTGCTACTTTCATAGCAAATAGATGTATATAATATCCTTCTACATTCACAAATAGCTTTGTTATGAAATTATTGTGTACTGTATATATAGGTATACCTTCATTTATAGCAAAATTTATCATATAAAATGGCATCTTAACAGTCTTTTAAGTGGAATATTAGGAATGTTTGTCAAATCATTTAATTTTAGGTTTATTTGAATTGCCTATGTTATTACAGTTTTGGTTCATAACTTCATTTAGTTTAACGTTTATTATAATGTGGTTGCCTCTAAATTTGTAGATTGTATTTCAATTAAAAGGCATGGCTAATTGTACTGGTGTAACACTTAAGATGTGGCATGGGGGTAGCTTTAAAAAGAATAGCAGGGGAGAACTACAATATGTTGGGGGACATTGTTGGTGCTTTGATGTTGATGAACTGTGCTAGTTTTGGCTTGAAGAGCTAGCTGGAAAATGTGGTAAGTATTCCAGTATAGATGACATATATTATTTGATTCCGGGTAAAACCTTTGAGAAAGGATTGAGAAGGGTAAAGTTTGACGCAGAAGTAAGGGAAATGTACAATGTAGTAATGATATCTAGAAGGAGGGCTTCTTTTGTAGTCAAGATCGTGAAAGGGATTCATACGTGCAATAGAAACATGAAGAAAAATAGACAACTTAAGGCAAAATGGGTGGCAGTGCAATTATTGGAAGTATTCAAGTCCCGACCTCACTGGACTGCACAAGAAATTGGAGAAACCATAAGAAGAGCTTAAAAGGTACTTGTTTCATGGGACTTTGCATACAAAGTAAAACATCATGCACATAGGAAGCTTCATGGCAGTATGAAGGAGCATTACAACAAGGTTGGAAGGTACTTGGAAGCTCTAATACAAGCAAATCCTCAAAGCCATTTGAGGCTTCTTACAGATCCATCAACAAAGGCATTCCCCCCCACTTTTCAGAGATTTTTTGTTTGTTTTAGTGGTCTGAAAGAAGGGTGGCTAAGGGGAGGGAGGAAGGTTTTATGTGTGGATGGATGCTTCATAAAGACCTTAGGAGGGATGTTGTTATATTATCTGCAGTAGGAAGAGACTCCAATGATCAGATGTTTCCGTTGGCATGGGCAGTTGTTGAAGCTGAAAACAACTCTAACAGGGAATGGTTTCTTTGTGAATTAAAGAAGACATTGGGTGATTCTGAAGGAGCAGACTACGCTTTTATTTCTGATGAGCACCAGGTATTAATTCTGTTTTTACTTTTCGATGAATATTAATTTAGTTTGTTAATGTAGTTTGTCATTTCTTGAATGTTACAGTCCATTTTGCGTGGAGTTTATTGTGTATTTCCTCTTGCAGAGAACAGACATTGTGCTAGACATGTGTTTATTGCTAATTGGCACACAACACATAAAGGTGATGAAATGAAGATGTTATTCTAGAAAGCAGCAAAGGATTATAATGAAGCTGATTTTGTGGAAGCACATGATGAAATGAGTCAAATCAATCCAGCCGCAGTTACTGCTTTTAAAGCATATAATCCCAGGTGCTTTTGTAGAGCCTACATTAGGACAAACACAAAATGTGATGTCATAGTCAGTAACATGGCCGAGACATTTAATGAGTACATTATAAATGCTAGAGCTAAACATATAATATTTATGCTAGAAGATATTAGGGCTGCTTTGATGCAGAGAATGGTTGTTAAGAGGCAGGCCATGCAAAATAGTGGAACTTACATATGTCCAAGAATCCAAGCAAGATTAGAAAAATCTAAAGATGAGGCAGCCACTTGTACCCCTCTACCCTATAGTGAAGTGTTGTTTCGGGTTTCTCATAGCTTAGATACTTTGACAGTTAGCCTAGAGGGTAAGACTTGCACTTGTAGAAAGTGGGATCTTAGCGGAGTCCCATGTTGCCATGTTGTTGCTTGTATGTTCTTTATGAATGTAGCACATGAGGCTTTTGTTGATGAATGATACACTAAACAGTCTTACTTGAAGTTGTATTCAGGTATCATAGCCCCTCTAAGCGGTGAAAGGCACTGGCCTTCAATAAATATGCCCTTAGACCCACCACCCATAAAGATTGGTCCCGGTAGACCTAGAAGAAACAGGCTGAAGGCGCCACATGAAAATCCAAAAAAAACGGGTAAACTGACAAAACATGGAGTTGAGATCACTACAAGAAACACACTTTTTAGCTACGAAAATTAATGACCGTTTAAAAAACCTCTCATTAAAAGCATTTTTTTACATCATTTGTGAGGGGAATAATCCTCTAAATAAAAACTTTACTTTTAATGAGGACTTTGTTTTAAATTCTCGCAGCTTCTTTAACCTTACCCTCATTATTGAGTGGGGAAAATTTCAGTACCCTAGCTATTACTCATTTTACATCTCCACCAATTTTTTTTAGAAGCGGCAAAGTGAAGTCACCCGCTAAACTGAAAATTTCAACACCCTTCCAGCGCTGATGGAGAAATCAAAAGTCCGCCGACCCTGGACCGCTCTTAGATACATCAAAGTCGATTCTCTTGGAGCGTCGTTGGAGATTCAAAGACCAACAAAGATTCTGGTCTAATCTCGTGGAGAGGTCTGTGTCTATTTTGCCTCTACCTGTTCATAGCTTTCTTCCACCTTCCGACCACAAGTTGTCTACGAAGTTCTCCGGCCAGTTTAAGCCTCCCCACACCACGGCTACGAACCTTCCTCTCTGGGTTTGCTCAATTTTGATTGTGGAATCACCAGGTGTTGGAGGCCAACGTTTTTTAAATATATTCTTACATCTATTTGTGAAGAAAGTTACAGAGAAGCTTGATATAGGTGATAATATGCCACCTGCAGTTTGATTTACATGTATTTTCTTCTTACAATGCCCTGCAGTTTGATTCAGTTGATAACTTTTTTATTTTTGTTTCGTTTAAACAAAGATTTATATTTTTTTTTTTGATTTTTTGAGGCTATAACTTTTATTTTAATTAAAATTTTCAGCGTAGGTGATGCTCTACAATAGAATATAACTTTTTATTTGACTTGATTTCACCTTAAGACTTTGCTATGGTTGGACATTACAACCCTTTTGTAGCTCTAGGTTTTCTTATGCATCTCTACTTAGGTTCTGAAACTGAATGTTTTTACCTCTCTTTATTTCCAATTTTGATTTAATCTTTTGGGAATTTGTTTGTAATGGAGTTAAATTTATTGAGCAATTCAGATTCTGAAAGTGAAAGTTTATTTACACTTCTTAGACTTATCTTATGTATTCACTCAGTTTAGTTTGATCTATTTTTAGAACGTAATGCATATAAGTGATACAAGTATTGAATGCAATCTTTGCTCTTGCGGTCCGTAGTACTAAAGAGTTTCCATTCCTAGCCAAGTTACTTGTGGTGTTCTAGAAGGTATTCTCTTTTAACTTTACATCTTATTCTTCACATCAAGGTTTGCTAATTTTCTGTTTTAATTTGCTAGTACAAACTAAATAATTTTCTGTTTTGCTATATGAATAAACACTAGTCTTTGAAGTTGTCAATCATTTTTCTTGTGTTTGTATTCATTTTATTTTCTAATTTAATAAAACTGCACTTGAATAAATAGATTGTGCTTAGTTTTTTTAAATTAAACATAACTGGTTTAATTATATATAAGCTTTTAATATATTCTTCAGTTTTATAAAGTAGCTACTTTGATTATTAGATGCACGATTAACTCCTGGAGAAATTAGGGATGGTTAGTAATGATAAAACCAAGTGTTTCTTTGATATTCGATCCAGATTTGCTAATTTTCTGTTTTGCTAGCTCAAGCTGATCATTTGTGTTTTGATATATGAATACACAATGGTCCTACAAGTTGTCAATCAATTTTCTTTTGTTTGTATTCATTTGATTTTCTAATTTAGTAAAACAGAACTTAAATAAATAGATTGTGTTTAGTTTTATTTAATTGAACATAACCGGTTTAGTTTTATATAACCTTTTAAGAAAAAGTAAAAAGGTTGTCAGCTACTTTGAAAAAGATTGTATTAGTTTTACATAACTGGTTTAGTTTCATCAACTCTAAGAAGTTTTAGTTTTCTATAAGCAGTTTATCAACTCTTCAGTTTAGCAACTATAACCAGTTTTAGTGTTATCAACTTTTTAGTTTAGTTTTACATAACCAGTTTATCAACTCTTCAGTTTAGTAACTATTCAATTTAGCAACTCTTATGTTTTAGTTTTATCAAAAGATTGTGTTTGTCTTACATAACCAACTTGACATAACAAGTTTAGTTCTATGACTTTATCAACTCTTCAGATTGTGTTAGTTTTACATAACTAGTTTTGTTTTATCAACTCTTCACTCTAATTTTGAGCTTAATTAAAGTATGTGTTACTGTGTTATACAGAATTTTCATCAGAATCTCGTAATGTAAGACTCGGTCTGGCAAGTGATGGTTTCCAACCATTTACTCATTCAAAAACGTCATATAGCATTTGGCCGGTGATACTCATTCCTTACAATGTTCCTCCCTGGATGTGTATGAAAGAATCTAATTTTATTCTTTCAATGCTCATACCTGGTCCAGATGGTCCTGGAGATGCAATTGACGTGTATCTCAAACCTTTAATAGAAGAATTGAAGGAATTGTGGGAAGTAGGTGTTGATACTTTTGATGCTTCTAACCGTCAAAACTTCAAGTTGCATGCATCATTATTGTGGACTATTAATGATTTTCCTGCATATGGAAATCTATCTGGTTGGAGTACAAAAGGAAAAATGGCATGCCCATCCTGCAATAAGGAAACTTGTTCTATGCGGTTAGCTAATTGCAAGAAGCAATGCTATATGGGCCATCGACGTTTTCTTTTGAAAAGCCACAAATGGAGGAATGATAAAAGTTCATTTGATGGGAAAAAAGAGGTAAGACCTCCACCAACACCACTTTCTGGAGCTGATGTTCTTTTACAAGTTAATGACTTGGTAGGAATTCCTTTGACAAAAGACACCAGCAAGAAGGTGAAAATCTCACATGAGAAACGAGGTGATAACTGGAATAAGAGAAGTATATTTTTTGAGCTTCCTTATTGGAGTACCCTCTTATTGCGGCATAATTTAGACGTGATGCACATTGAGAAAAACATATGTGATAATATTCTTGGAACCATTATGAATGTACATGGTAAAAGCAAGGATAATGCTCAAGCACGTCTTGATTTGGAGGCTATGAAAATTAGACCAGAGTTGCATCCAATTCGAAAAGGAGATAAACTTGAGTTGCCAGCAGCATCATACACATTAGCGAAGAAGGAGAAACACTCATTTTGCTTATTTTTAAAGCAATTGAGAGTTCCTGATGGTTTTTCTTCTAATATTTCTCAATCAGTGAACATGAAGGATCACAAAATTTCAGGTTTAAAAAGCCATGACTGCCATGTTCTTCTCCAACATCTAATTCCTCTTGGAATACGTGGGCTCCTTCCTAGCTATGTGTATGAGCCTTTGGCTGAATTATCCTTGTTCTTCACTAGTATATGTGCGAAAACATTGAAGGTTGATGAGCTCGAACAAGCTGAGTCACAAATCGCTTTAACTTTATGCAAGTTAGAAAGAGTTTTTCCTCCTTCTTTTTTTGATGTGATGGTGCATTTGCCAGTACACTTGGCTAGTGAGGCTAAAATTGCAGGGCCACCCCAATACAGGTGGATGTATTCTATTGAGAGAATGTTATATCAGTTAAAGAAGCTTATTCGTAACATGGCTCGTCCAGAAGGCTCGATAGCAGAAGGTTATATCGCTAAGGAGTGTCTGACTCTTTGCTCAAGATACTTGAAAGGCATTAAGACAAAATTTAATAAACTTGAGCGAAACAATAATGGTTTATACAAAGGAGATGGTGATGATATATCCTTGTTCACACAATCTGGACGAGCACTTGGAGCCGGTACCACTCATAATCTTAGTGAAGATGATTGGTTACACGCTCATAGTTACGTTTTAAAAAATTGCGACGAAGTCCAACCTTTTTTCAAGTAAGAAACTTATTTTATAGACCTTTGTTCCTTGCTATTTATATGTAGATTACAAATAACTATTTAGCTATTAATGCAGCGAGTACTCTGAAATACAAGATAACAATTTGTCACACATGTCAAGGGATAAATGTGACAGTTCTTTTATCACTTGGTTTAAAAATAAGGTGAGCTAACATGAAAAGAAATGTTTTAAGATTAGTTCATTACTGAAATTATGTGTGTGATTGACTAAAACTTATATTTAGGTTGCAGGTATGCATATGCAATACCAACACTCACAAAGTGATAGTTTAAAAGCACTATCCCGGGGTCCTTTAAAACATGTCACATGCTTCAAGGGATATGTTGTTAATGGATTTAGGTTCCGAATAGAAGAGAGTGACACAGGATGTAGAACACAAAATTCTGGAGTATGTGTAATTGGAGACATAGGTACAGAGTGTGTTGAGTATTATGGAGTGTTGTCAGAGATCCTTGAGCTGCATTATCTTGGTGGCAGAAGGGTGTTCTTGTTTAGATGTCGATGGTTTGATGTCCACCATAACACAAAGGGAATTAGGGTAGATGAATTTGGATTTACTTCAATCAATTGTCAACGTTTGCTCAAAACTAATGAACCTTTTATTTTAGCGAGTCAAGCATCACAGGTGTTTTATGCCATTGACAATATGGTTAAAGGTTGGCATCTGGTCCTCAAGATGCAGCCTCGTGATCTATATAGCATTCCACAAAAAGAAGAGGTTGAGGATAATGATGAAGATAACTTAGATGAAACGTATCAACATGGCGAATCTTTCAGTTTTAAGTGCAATGACGATCCTACCATACATCCAGAGAATCCAAGTATCTGGACAAGAGAGGATGAGGATCCAATAGTTATTGAAGCATCCACAGTCATTCGGAAGAGAAAAAGAAAGGAAATTTAAGTAATTTCATGTAAATGACTTATTCTTACTAGTTTATCACACTTTTTTGCCTGTATGTGTAAATGGTTTTATTTTTTATTGGTTTACCACATTTTTTGCAGCTATGACATATATGATTTTGTAAAGTTAACTTCTTATAGTTGACTTATTTGTAATAGTTCTGATTCTTTGAAAGCAGTTATGGATAAAAGGGGTAAAAAAGAGACAAGCAAGAAGCTTCCTAGAGTGTAGCACTTGGTATGTTGGTCCAATTGCGTGCAGGCAAGTTGGACTCTGGTAATGAGATTTTTATCCTTTTTTAATGATATGAAAGCCGTAATGCATATTATTATTAACTATCAAGAAGAGTAACCTTACTAAATGGCAGTTGGTATGCTGCTGTAAGCTTATTTACAAGCATTGGTCATGCATATGTATAGCTTTATCACAGAAAAGTGTATTAGGTAGGCACACTTTTTTTCTTGTGCTTCCCTCTAGGTCTGAATATTAGGCTTGTTTAATTATACTATTCATAACTTGAATGGCAGTGAGATACTGAGGAATCTCTAGTTTGGATGAAGACCATAAAATCATTAGAAGCTAGTCTATGGTCTGGTACAGAGTTAATAATGGATGCTGAATATGCAATTTCATTGTTGATTGAAAGGGTAATTGTTAATGGAAAGAGAGGTTAACTACTTCTGCAGTTCTTTGTTTATGATCCAAGTGTTATGGGAACTTAAAATTAGTTAATGTTTTTAGCCAATGTTTAGAAAAAAGATCCTCACCCATGTATATTGTTTTGACACTTTCTCTTTATACTCTTATTAATTTTAATTATTTGAATATAAATTGAGGAATCTGAAAATTATATGACTTGTTAAATGCCAATAAGGTTATATATAGGGAAACACTACTTCGAAAAAGTGAAAATGAGTTTTGTTTTGATTCTTGGCATTCTGACCTCAAATAAGCTTATATCTTGGAAAAGCTGGAATATAGTTGAGATTGGAAATGGTGCTTGTGAAACATTTTTGAGAACTTTAGGAAGCAACTCTGACAAATTTGATATTTAGGTTTAATTTGTTATGAAGAAAAAATGTAAGCAGTTCTGCAATCTTGATTCTTCTTTATCTTTGGATATATATGGATTCCTAAAACTTGTTCATTGGTGTATAATCTTGACATCATTTGATTGACATCTTGCATTTTTGTTTGTTCTTAAGAGTCCTGATTGTATCGAACTAAGTATGCTTTGTTTATTGTGAACAGGTACCAAACTGCATATTTGAAGTGGTTTTCTGGAATGCAAACTTATTAGTCTTCTAGTTTTGATTATTGATTTTGTATGTTGGTTTTCCACAAAATTAAGTATGCTGGTCTTTTTTCTTATGATTAGCTAGCATTTATTTTGTACTCATTTTGAATGTCATTTTTGCTACTTCAAAATGTAATGATATAAATTATATACAGTCTATCATTGCAGTACTTGGGTAACATGATAACATTGTAGTCTAATGGAGTGCAATAATTTCAGTAAGTACAATAATGTGTTTGTATTGCTCATCGAAAGTGTCACTTTTTACAATGAAAATATTTTAATATAATGACATGATTTTTAGTCACTAAAGTATACCATTCAATGAGGTGAATTTAATAGTAATGAGGGATTTTTTGTCATTAAATAGATGTAATAATGACGGTATTTTGTGTCATAAAAACAATAAATTGGATAGTTATTAGATGTAATAATGACAGGATTTGCTCTCATAGGTGGTCATTTTTAATGACAGTGAATGCACTCTCATGACTTGATCAGCAATGATAGGATCATATCCCGTCATTATATACTTTTAACCGCGGAAGCAGTAGTGACGAATGGTGACAGTAAATATCCCCTCATTAAAACTGCTTTATGACAGGATTGTATGTTTCAACTACGGGTTGTCCTCTCATTACAGACATAGTTTCTTGTAGTGGATGACTTGTAGTATGTGCAAGTCAAAGTCACATAATAAGAGAAAGTGTCCATACAAAAATAAGGCTACTGAACTACAATCTCAACCCAAGAAGAGTAGGGGAAGGCCAAGAACGGTCAGGCAGCCAGAAGAAGAAATTGGTCTTGATGCTACAACAGCCCAACCATCTAGAATTGGGAGAGGAGGCAGAGTGATTCATGACAGAGGATTTCAAGCTGCCAGGGGAGGTTAAGAAAGTGGAAAAAGTGTAAGTAGAAGGGGAAAGGGCAAAGTTCCAGTTGGATTTGGTGTAATCATTGATGGACAAGGAAATGCTTGGACTAATGTAATTGACGCTTAGTTTCTCTTATTCATTTAAATTTATTTATTCAGTCCTAGTATCAGTTAATATCATGTACTCAAACTTTTTAATTCATACATGTGTTGATTTTACAGAGTCCCGGGCAGCAAAGAGGGCCGGTGAATATATCACACACAAGTACCTGCAATTCCGGAGCTCCAACAACTCATTCAGTGTGAATCAGAAGGCTAATATTGAAGCACAAGCAATCACTATTTTGTTAACCTATTATGTAGTTCAAGTCCAGTTGTATGATGATTATGTTACGTTGGTGTACTCTACTTTGTGAAGTGTTGTTTATTGGTATTTGTTAGGTCCCCTAGATTTTGATATTCAATGTAATAGTTTTGATGATGTCACCCTCCTTTTTGGTTAAATCTTTATTGTTGTACTAGACTATTCTACTGCTTGTTCCGCTGTGTGAAAAAAAGTACTCATAAAAAGCAAATAGTACTAAAAAGATAAAAAAAGCACTGGTATCAAAGTGCCAAAATAATAATATACAATTTTTGTACCAAATAAATTTTACTGGAAATATAAAAAGCAATAAGGTAAATTTTGTTTATCTTACAAGGATATTTAAATCCAACCAGTATAAAATTTATTTGATATAGAATTTAACATGTCACTAGAGTACAACTGCCAAAATTGTGACAAAATAAAGTGTACACTTTTTGTAACAAAAATAAATTGCACTCGGAAAATAAAATGCAATAAGGTAGTTTTCCTTTACCTTAAAGCGGATATTCAAATCCTACCAATACAAATTTATTTAATACTCCCTCCGTCCCGCTATTAACTTCCTGCTTTCCTTTTTGGGACGTCCCAAAATCATCTTCTCATTTACCTAAATGGAAAGTTTTCCTACATCAAAATAGTGTCAAACAGTGCAAAACAGTGCCAAACAGTGTCTAAACAGTGTCTAAACAGTAAAGTCAATTTTAATTCCTAAAAATGTGTGAGGGTCAAAGTAAGAAGTTAAAAACAGGACGGAGGGAGTACAAAAAGGCTAAAGTCACAAACATGCTAAAATTCTAATTAGAACACTGCATACACAATACACTACACGCATACAAATGTACACTTGCGTGTATGATTACAGGCAAAGCCAAAACCTATTAATAGGTGAATAGTGCATAAAGGCCTAAGGTATGGGTTCACATACTAGAAGATAATCTTGCAAATGGATCCTAATGCAGCACTAAGAAGATAAACTGCTCCAACACAAGAAGACGAAAGTACAATACATCCGACGTCAAAGATTAAATCATCTCAACCAACGGAAGAGATTAATCAACCGGAGATGCCTATAAATACAAGCATAAGCATGAGTTGAAAACCAAGTTTTTGAGATCCTTCTAAGCAAAGTAAATCATACCGAGCATCCAAGAGATATCTAGCAAAAGAGAAAGTGCTTGATTCAAACTTTACTCTCTGCTTAGACTCATGTTTCACTAAACTTCCAAGTTAGAATTCACATTGCTACATTCTGAAAGTTTAGTTCTTAGTTGGAAGCTAGAATTTTTGTTTTATCACAAATTGTTGTAAACACTTAGAAGGACAGTGTTATCTAGTCCTAAGTGTGGATGAATAGAATAGAGTACCTTTTGATCCCCACTGGATCAATTGAGAAAATATAAGGATTGAGTAACTTGGAGTGGTGTGTACTCCTAGTGAAACACCTTTCAGTCTGAACTAGTTGTGTGATAAAGGCTAGATTGGCACTAAGTGTATTGGGCTTAATACATTAGTGGAAATCCATCTGAAAGAGGGTGAGACTGGATGTATGAGGATTACACCACCTCTGAACCAGGATATATTGCGTGTTGATTCACTATCATTCAATGAAGCACACAACAAACATTTTCTTTTGCAGTTGCCTTGAGCAGTAACCTCGGCAGCAGTCTGCTGCCCACTCTACTGCTCACCCCACCGTTAAGAAAACAGCGCTTCTAAACACTTTCTTACAGACTTTTAAATGTTTTAAAGTCTTCAAACACTCATCAGAAATAATCCAGTGCAAACAGTAGTCTTAGCAGTACTTTACACTTACCTCACCACTTAGTCCACTGCTTACCAAACTGCCAAGCCGACTGCCCTCATAAAGAAGTTCAAAACTTGAGTTCCTTTGAAATGATAAAACTTATTTGATAGTCTCTTGAACTTGTTCCTTGTCCACTTACTTTAAATAGAAAGTTGTTATATATTGTTTACATAGAGGTCAAGACTTCCGCTGTGTATCTTTAATCTCTCAAAAGGTTATTGATCATCATATCTAGTAGGGAAAACTTTTAAAAGTTATTGACGAGGGGGTTTAGGATGAGGAGTTAGAAGTAGAGGGGCTTGCTCGAACAGGATATGTGCGAGGTGTCTGTCTGATTGTGTTGTTTCCATAGACAAGGGCCCACGTGAGCGAAAATCCAAGTTCTTTGCTTAGTTTGTTTGTATCCAGTGTTGCAACGATACTTCACCCCGATGCCGTATCAGTGAATCCGATACCGATACCCTGATGCGTATCCTTTGTAAATTGCCATATCGCCGTACCCGTATTCACGTATCGGCGTATCCGTGTCCGTGCAACATAGTTTGTATCTATGAGTATATATGTTGTGGGCTTGCACCCATATACTCTATTAGTGATCATTTGATTATTACCTCATAAATACTACCTTCGTCCCACTAAGATTGAGAGAAAGGAGAGTGGTGAAGTTTTTAAGAAAAGTAGAACTGTGTGGTTAAGGAATTGATAAATTAAAGTGAGAATAATGTAAGAATGAATTTGAGCGAAAGAAATATTACCAAATATGATATGAGATAAATTTAGTGGGACAAACGAAAATGGAAAATGAGACAATTATAGCAGGACAGAGGGAATATTTTCCTGTGAGAAACAACAGTTACTCTTCCGCTATTGGTTGGTTCAAAAGTACTCTGTATGTGTTTGCCAAAGAAAGGTTGTCTTGTCGGGGGGGGGGGGGGGGGGTGGGGGGGGGGGCTGGTTGGGCCCTAGCCCAGCGCAATTTTGTTGTTGTATTATATACTCCCTCCATCCCGTTGGGATGTTACCAGTTTGACCTACACATATATTGAGGAAATAAACTTACCAGGGGGTAAATTTTACTGTTTTGACACTGTTTGGACACTGTTTGGCACTGTTTTGCACTGTTTGCCAATGTTTTGATGTAGGATAACTTTCCATTTAGGGAAAGGAGAACTTCTTTTTGGGACATCCAGAAAAGGAAAGCGGGAACATCCCAACGGAACGGAGGGAGTATATCGTTTTAATAAATAAATTAGAATTGGCCCAGTGCAAAAGAAAGTCTGGCCTAGTGTAGAATCATTCTGGACCAGTGCGAAAATACATCCTCCTGCCAATCTAAAGAAAAGTAGCGCAGCAGCCACTCACATTCCATTCGCCGGACGCGCCTCTCCGCCGCTCGACCTCTCGACACGACCTAAGGCCCTAAGGTAATAGTTTTTGTTTTTGTTTTTTTTTTTTTGTTTTTACATTTTACGTAGTATATTTTAATTTAAGTATTTTAAATGTTATTTTAGTTTGTGTTAGTGACTTAGTGTGTACAATTGATTTTGTGTGCTTTGAATTGTGAAATGGAAAATTAGGAATAGCAAATGTAATATGTGAATTTCCTAAAATATTAATATGAATTGTATGAATTAAAATAAAGTATTGATTAGTTTTTATTTGTTTTTGCTAGTTTTAGTAGGTATGACTACTCAATCTGCTTCCAAAAAGGCAAAAGTCACAGTGTGTTCATTTATAAGCCTAGTACAAGCACACAATGTAGGCAAAAGTTAAATGTCTCAATTGAAATTCCGAATATTTCATCCGCTCAAGAGGAAGTAATTTTTTATTCACTTGTAATTGAACGGGATCCGGGAAAATGATAAGTAATTGACCATTGATGCTTGGACCTTATCAACTGAATTTTTTAATGGATTTTAATCATTATGTTCTCACTATTTATACTTTTAAAATTTTTGTATAATGTTTTTAGTGTATAGTTGGTCCAGGGTGAATATCCGTCCTGCCTACGCCCTTGTGTCTTGAACAAGCTTAGTGGCAGTTTATCGATTGTGTACCGGGAATGGTCATACTACCTCCGTCCCAAAAAAATTTGTCACTTCAACAAATTTGAACTTTGATTTTGATTAGTATATTATTATGAAAGTTATAAAATTTATACTTTTATAGAAGTACTATTAACAAAGAACATTTTCATATAATTTTTATATTATGAATAATTTCCGATAAAAAGATATAGGTGGTCAAAGTTGTGAAAATGACAAAGTTTTTTGGAATCGATGTTGTATTATTGGGTAAGTGGTTGTGCTCCTCCGTCACTTGGACAGTTGGACTCCCTTGGGCTTGGAACAGCCTTCCGTGCATTGAAGTCAAACATAATAGATTGATCAGGACAATTGGACAAAAATGAGGTTTAAGGTATTTGGCGGAGAGAAAAAGAATACTCCGTAAAAAGTAAAGAAAAACAACACAATTAAGATGCAAATTGAAAGTCAACGTGAGTTCAACAAACCCCTAAACCGTGAAATCATTAAATAATCGATTAATACGATAGCTCAATTAACGTTTTTATATTAATATGATGCCTATTTTTCAGATTTTCTAATTAATTATACGAAGTATTAGTTTCTTACCTCGATCAATATGTAAAACATAAACTTCAGCCCCAAAGTTTCTGTGATCTTATTATGCCACTCCAAATCAAGTTTACTTTAATAAAGTTTTATTGAACAATGGGAGGAAATAAGTACTAATTAATCAAGGCCCAATGTATGATTGAACTGGATTTGAGTCTCATTTGGGCCTACAACCATAATCCATACCATAGGGTAAAGTTCGATTCTCGGAACGCGTTTAATTCGCTGCAAAAAAACACAATTAGGTTAGTAACACGAATTACACGGGTGAAGTAAAAACGCAAGCTGCTTAAAAAGCTGCTTACTAACCGAAAGTGGTGCTTAAAGTACGTGCCGCTTACTAAGCATACCTCCCCTCATGTATTAATTAAGCGGTACTTTAAGCTTTTTCAGTTACCGAATTTAGCACTCTTACCCCTTGCCCTTGCCCTATTGTTACCCTCTACCCCTACCCCTACCTCCTACCATGGCCCCTATACACTACCCCTACCCCTCAGTAGGGATAGAAGGTATGGTCGTGGTAGGGGGTAGGGGTCAAGTGTAGGGTAAGGGTAGGGGTAGGGGCGGGTAGGGGTTAGGGTTATGGGTACATGTACGAGGGAACCACCACATATTATATTATATAATTGTGTTCAGGAATGTATATGAGTCTATATATGTATAACTGTATAAAGTTATTTTAGACATTTTAATGTTAAACGATATTTTAAATCCAATCCTTTGAAGTAAACATGAGCTTACAATACAGCTTATTTTATGCAGCGCTTATTAACGTGAGTCTTATTAAGCACCGTTTAGTAACTCGTGAAGTAAAGATGTCCTCGGTATTTTATTAGTTATCGTTATACAATGTAGTTCTCAAGGAGACTAAAAATAAAATAACTACGACATGTCTTTATTGAACATTGTAGAAGTTAAATATAAAGAAAATAAAAAGAAGTGGAAAATATGAACCAAAAGATGGAAAAGTAGCGAAAATAATTAGCGTCCAGTAATAAATACTCCGTACATTTTTCGTAAATTGCGTCAAATCACATGTTAGAAACTCAAAACTATCATTAACAAAAATACCTAGTTTAATTTAGCTTAATTTGCAATCTTGAAAGTTAAAAAGGCCTCATCGGCTCCTCCCCATACCTCCTCGTATTGGATATATATGGCAATAACAAGTAAGCAACATGGCCTCCTCTTCATCGTCATCCTTATACTAGCCAAAAATAAGGTTGTGTCGTCGGAAAAGGCAGTACAAGACTCGATTTTCTTGAACGTCGCTGGCTCGTTTGCCGGTGCAGAGAGCGGCGGATCGATAGACATAGAGGACGCGGCGGAGGAATTGATGATGGAATCGGAAGTGTCAAGGAGATTTTTGTCCCAGAGCAGATACATAAGCTACGCCGCCATGCAAAAGGACAGCATCCCCTGCAATCGTCGTGGGGCTTCTTATTATAATTGCCGATCACACGCCGCCGTCCGCCCCTACAACCGCGGCTGTAGCAAGTTCACCAGATGCGGCGGAAGATACAATTAATTAATTATCGAAAATGTAAATAATCCTACATGAGAAAAATATTGCATGGATGCATTATTTATAGGGATAATTTAACTTTACACATAGGACATGTTTACTTCACCGGTTATTAAACGGTGCTTATTAAGACCCGTGTTAATAAGCGGCGCATAAAATAAACAATGTTGTAAGACCGTGTTTACTTCAAACGGTTTAAAACACCGCTTAACATTAAAATGTCCAAAATAACCCTATACATATATATACACACAAACATTCATGAACACAAGTATATAATATAATATGTGTACCCATACCCCTAACCCCTCACCCACCCTACCTTACCCCGACCCCACCTACCGCCTACCCCTACCCCCTACCCCTACCCTACCTACTGACCCCACCCTACCTACCCGACCCCACCCTAACTGTCCCCACCCTACCACAACCCTACCTCGACCCCATAGGCCCCTACCCCCATAGGCCCTTACCACATCGACCCCACCCCGACCCCACCTTACCCCAACCCCGACCCTACCCCTACCCTACCCAACCCGGGTAATGGTAGGGTGGGTTCGGGTAGGTAGGGTGGGGGTTGAGGCGGGGTAGGGTAGGGGTAGGGTCGGATAGGGTAGGGTGGGGTCGGGTATGTGGGTAAGGGGTGGGGTAGGTAGGGTAAGGGTAGGTGTGTGGTCGGGTAAGTAGGGTAGGGGTGAGATTGGGTAGGTAAGGTAGTGGTAGGGTGGGTTCGGGTAGGGGTAGGACGGGGTAGGGTTGGGTTGGGTCAGGGTAGGGGTAGGGGTGGGGTCGGGTAGGGGGTAGGGTAGGTGGGGTAAGGGTATGGGTGGGGTCGGGGTAAGGGTAGTGTAGGTAGGGTAAGGGTAGGGTGGGGGTCAGTTAGGTAGGGTAGGGGGTGTCTGGTAATGGGGTAGGGTGGGGGGTACGTGTAGGGTGGGGTCGGACAGGTAAGGTAGGGGTAGGGTGGGGTCGGGTAGGTAGGGGTAGAGTCGGGGTAGGTAAGGGTATGGTGGGGGTCGGTTAGGTGGGGTAGGGGTGGGGTCGGGGTGGGGTAGGGGTGGGGTGGGGTCGGGGTAGGGTCAGGGTAGGTGGGGTAAGGGTAGGCTGGGGTCGGGGTAGGGTGGGGTTGGGGTAGTGGTAGGGGGGTCGGGTAGGTAGGGGTAGGGTCGGGGTAGGTAAGGGTATGGTGGGGGGTCGGTTAGGTAGGGTAGGGGTGGGGTTGGGGTGGGGTAGGGTAGGTGGGGTAGGGTAGGTGGGGTGGGGTCGGGGTAGGGTCAGGGTAGGTGGGGTAAGGGTAGGGTGGGGTCGGGGTAGGGTGGGCTTGGGGTCGAGGTGGGGCAGGGATAACAATAGGTAGGGCAAGGGGTAAATTCGGAAACTGAAAAAGCTTAAAGTGCCGCTTAATTAATACATGGGGGGTGGTATGTTTAATAAGCGGCACTTTAAGCAGCTCTTTCGGTTAGTAAGCGGCTTTTTAAGCAGTGTGCGTGTTTACTTCACCTGTCTTACTAACCTAACTGTGACTTTAGCAGTGAAGTAAACACCTCCATAATGTTTAGGGTGATATTGAACTTTGTATCTAATTTTCAAAATTATCAATGGGTGCACCCCATCAATTCGATCAAAATATTTGAAGAAGTAGTGCAAAATTAAAATGAGAATATTTGACTTTGAAAACAGGTTGCCAAGTCAAATATAATCCAAAAATGAGGTGCAAAGTGGAATTCTCCCATTGTAACTCTCCCTACATTGTTTGAATGTATCTTTAGTTAAAAAAAGTATTTAATATGATTTGTATTATTAACATATTCCACTTCATATGCATGTATTTCAGTCTTTGTGTGTTTTATTACAAACTTAGGTATTCTTTTTTATCTGTACAATATTCTGTTCTTTTTTAGTACGTAGTAATAGAAGCTATTCTCATCTTAAGAATCTCGCTGTTAAATGTCCCACACCGGAAAATTGAGAAGCACTAGAGTGCTATATTAAGCTTCGGACTACTCCTCCTAATAGGTTGACCTTTTAGGATGGAACCCCGTGTCTTAACATGGTATCAGAGCCAAATCGATCCATGGTGTGGGGCCCTTATGAAAAATGACGACACGACAAAAAAATTGACAAACCGATGAAAAAATGAATGACGACACGATCCAGACGAAGTGTCTGGTCGTGAGGAGGGGTGTTAAATGTCCCACACCGGAAAATTGAGAAGCACTAGAGTGCTATATTAAGCTTCGGGCTACTCCTCCTATCAGGTTGACCTTTTAGGATGAAACTCCGGGTCTTAACACTCGCTAAATAGAAATAATAGGAGGGTCACTCCACATCCTTCAAAAGAGAATTTCTTTAATTCGGACGTCAGACCGTATGCTTCGATCTAGCCAACGGACAACCTCATCAAACTCTTTTTCCATAGGAGGAACAATCAAACAATTTACGAGTACAATGTCTTGATACACATTGAACATGCCTACCTTATAGAAACGTCAAAACCCAAATATGATAAGGTTAATTAAAAGGGGAAAAGTGGATTTTCTTTTCATTTAAACATGACAAGAAATACCTTAGCTTATGGAGGAGGACATGAGAAGAGAAAGACATACCTTTCATATTCGATACAATCAGCTCTTTAAGCTAGATGTATACAATTTTTTTTAGGAAAAATTGATAGGAATAATCCCAACTATTGGTGGTCCGCCCATAATAATCCCAACTATCGATTATTTTAGAATAATCCCAACTTTAGGGACCTTCCGCCAATAGTGGTCCATATAAATAAATTCATGTAGTTTCTAAAGTGGATGAGGAGTGATATAGCAAGTAATCCCTATAAATAATCTCAACTTTTAATTTTTACACTTAATTTCTATTTAAAATTCACTTTTTATAGGAGGTAATATATGACCATGGACCATTATTGGCGGACGATCCATATAGTTGGGATTATACAAAAATAATCAATAGTCGGGATTATTATCAGCGGACCGGCAATAGTTGGGATTATTATTTTCAATTTTTCCTTTTTTTTTTATTTAGAGGATCTAACAAGCAAGTATTAGCAAGGAAAGACACATCCTATAAGATGAAACAAAACTTGTTTAGTAAAAATGATCTTAATGTATAGTAGTATCTGTTTTCATTAATTGGAATATAATGTACTCCCTCCGTCCCCTTTTAAATGGGACGGGAGATGGTGGCACGAGTTTTAAGAAAAGTGAGTTTGTGTGGTTGATATTAATTGATAAAGTAAGAATAAAGTAAGAATGATTTTGAGCCACACAATGTTTACCAAATAAGGTATGGGGCAATTAAATAGGGACATCCCAATATGGTAAAACGGGACATTTAAAAGGGGACGGAGGGAGTATTTAATAACGATTCCTTAACAATTTCGTGAACATGTCTTTTTTATAGGAATCGTGAACCGAACCATTAAAAATAACTAGGAACCGAACCAAACAGGATTATAAGGGTTCGGTTCCAACCGGTTCTACAATTTACGGTTCCAAACTCCCACCCCTAGGACAAAGCTAAACCACACTGCTTTTATTTTATTATTCTCCGTGTTAGTTGAACTTGACAAAGTTTTGAGTGTCAGATGAAGTATTTCTTTTGATTCATTTAAGTTTGCCTTAATAAGCATAAAAATACGTAGTATATTGTAACATATCCAACGTAATGCATCTCCACTAGCTTCAATTTCACAAATATTTTTTTCTTCATTAACTTTTATAAAAAGAGTTCTTTTTTTTCAAAAATAGCACTGAAATAAAAGTTATTCACAAAAAATATGATTAAAAGTTACTATGTGTTATATAGTATAATTTCATGGTCATCTAAATAAAAGTTATTCACAAAAATAAATTACTCAGACTAAAGTTACTATTATAATCACTACACTTATTAAAATGTCACTATTTGGTAAACAAATTTTATTTTAGTCATAAATATGAAATTATTTCTTATATAAAAATACACCAACATTATGTTTTTATATTATCATAAATGGTGAAGATTGTATCACAAGAAATAAATAAAAAATATCAATTAAACCTCGATTTCTAAATATTATTTTAATAATTATGTTTTTTGTAACAAAAATTATATTTTGCTAATAGTAGTCAAATTACTATTTGAAGTATAGCTAAAAAAGAATCTTATTTCAATGCCACATTTTGTCTAAAATTTCAATAATATTTTAGGGAAAATCCCATATCTGAAGCCCGAAATTATAACAAGAAAACTATATGTGTAAACTACATCAAGTACAAATCTAAATAAAAGTACGAAGTATTTAAATAGCTATATAAAAGACGTACACATTTACTTTATAATGTGAGTTCTACAAAAAAACCATTAGGCTTCAAAAGAAAAAACAAAGGTGACAACTCCGGTACCCATTTAAAAAATAGGGTACCGTACCTACCACTCACATGATTGGTCCAAATCATTAAATCATTTTTAATTTAGATTTAAATAATTTAACTGCAATATTGTGATTGGTCCAAGTGTACAAAGGTATGGTACCTTTTGGGTACCATAGAATCTACCAAAAACAAACTACACTCAATATAGCAATACAGAAAGAGATAAAATCATGTAAATGTTTTTTTTTTTTGTTTTTCATTTTTTAGGCCTAGCCGCCTAGGCCCTAGAGGTGTCGCCCTCTTCCACCCGTAGGGGCTGGGGCTGGGGCTGGGGCAGGCAAATGGTACATGTGCAACCGCCATCTCATGCATCTTTTGTTATCTTTGAACAACAAGTACCAACACACAAAAATGAATGCATGCATGCAATCACTATTCCTGCGTGAAGATTCTTCATTCCCATAACTAGTCCTCATAAATTGTAAAGGAAAGAATTAAACTTATTATGAAAAGAAGAAATGAAAGTCTCCATTGTTATGGATGGAGGATATGAGCATGGCATGGAAGTAGGGCTTCAAGAACCCATCCTACAAATGAAAGAAATAATCCAAAACCATCTTGGAATTCCTATGGCTTCCCAAACCCTCTCCGTTTTGGGGTGGGAACTAATGGATGGACTCGACCTTGAAGATTATCCCTTCATTTCCCATGGCACAAAGATTGATCTGACCATCAGTCAAACACCTGAAAGTCAACCAGCCGTTGACCCTCATCAGCTCCACAGTACTAAAATCAACATAACTATCAAATTCGCTGCCCGAAAGCTACACATAGAAGCCGACCCTGTCAACGACACGGTCAAAACCCTAAAGGAGAAAATCCACATA